TTGTTGATGATGAGATGGAAAATGGGTATGAGTTACCGCTTGATGGTGGTGAATCCTCATCCAAAGCTGGACCACCCGAAGTTGGCTCAGAAACCGGCCCCACATCAGTCCTCGAAGTGAGCCAAGATGGGGTAAGTGAAAAAGCTCAAGTTGGCTCACTTCCGATTTTCTCGGAGACAGCAAGTTGACTCACTTTTCTGGGGCTGGGTTGAGCCAACATGGAATCAGTGGTTGGAGTGGTAAAATTAGTACTTGGAGGTGTAAAATTAGTACTTGGGGTGTTTATCCTTTAGTACAGTAGTATAGGATGAGGGGGAGACTTTGGAGAGCGGCCCTTTGGGCCGATCGAGAAAGTCGATTTTGGCTCACCTGGAAGGTGAGCCAGAACCCCCTCGTCCTATACTACTTGCGCAGCACATCATCTTGTCCAGCATGTCACCCAGCCAACCCGCGGCAACAATACTCTCGACCTTATCATCTCCGATTTCCCACACCCCGTATGCACCACAGCCTATGCACCACTTGGACGATCTGATCATGCCGTTATCATTGCCGAGTTTCTCCAACAGCATCCACGACGCGAAGATCCTGCTGTTCGACAGGTTTGGAAATACGCCCTTGCTGACTGGCACCGCCTGAGAGCCTACCTCCGCAACATAGACTGGCCCGCCAAGATCCATGGGTGTGCGGAGCAGTCCTGTCAGCGCGTAACTGATGTCATCATGCATGGAATGAAACAGTTCATGCCATCCAAAGAGCTTGTGGTACACCAATCCAACCCTGTATGGTGGACACCGGACTGTTCTAACGACAATCATGCCAAGGAGCGGGCATGGAAGCTGTGGCGACGCGATCCCCGCAACGATAACCACAAGGTCCAGTACATCACAACTGTTAACCACGAAGTGAAAGCGTGTCATGCAGCGCGATTAGCACATCAACGTAGAATTCGCAACAAGCTTACTGCAGGTTCCTTCCGGGACAAAGAGTGGTGGTCAACCATCAAGAGCGCAGCAGGCAAGGGACGTTGCTCTGACACTCCCCTGCTGACCAACCCTGCAGGACAAGAGTTCCACTCTTCTCGTGAGAAAGCCGAGTGCTTTGCAGCGCAATTTGCGAACAAGTGTAGCCTTGGCAATAACGACCTCTGTGCTGCTGGCCTGCCTGACCTGCAACGACCTGCCTATGCCACACTAAAGCACATTCACTTCTGCGCAACAACGGTCAAACGGCACTTGGGGAACTTGGCTGTATCAAAAGCAACTGGACCGGATGGCATCTCTGCTCGTGTGCTCAATATGTGCTCATCTGAACTTGCAGACCCACTGGCAAAGCTCTTCGCCCTCTGCTTCTTAGCCGGTGTGCAACCTGGGGCATGGAAACTTGCCCATGTAGTCCCTGTTCACAAGCGGTCCTCCAGATCTTCGGCATCTAACTACCGACCAATATCACTGCTAACGATCATGTCGAAAGTCATGGAGGGCATTGTAAACACGCAACTGGTCAACTACCTAGAGAAGCATGAGGTGTTGCCAAACAGCCAGTTTGGATTCCGACGTGGTAGAGGAACCACAGATATCTTAACGGCTCTCCAACATGAATGGGTCCACACCATAAGTACTGGCGGTTGTGTCCAGGTCCTCGCAGTGGATATTGCCGGTGCGTTTGACCGGGTGTCGCACACAGGTGTGCTGTACAAAGCAAAGCAGGCCGGCGTCGACGGACGCCTGCTTGTATGGCTACAGGACTACCTCACCAACCGAAACATCCGCGTTGTGGTTGGAGGCCAGACGTCAGATACTCAACCCATCCAGGCTGGTGTCCCCCAAGGCAGCATCCTAGGACCCAGCCTCTTCCTTCTATACACCTGTGACATTGAACAATGTTTAAAACTCCAGGAACGCAGTTGAGCAGCTTTGCAGACGACACCACACTCTACAGCTTAGTACAGCCAACTGACGATCTCCAACAGTCCACTGCCTCCCTCCAAGGGTCCCTCAACAGTCTTGAGGAGTGGGGCCGCAAGTGGCGTATCTGTTTCGAGCCAGCCAAGACACAGCGCATGACTCTACATCGCAAGCACGTTCCCCCTGCACTTCACCAGTCACCTTTGGGGGGGGGGGGGGGGAAGCACTCCAGGAGACAGATACCCTGAAGCTGCTTGGAGTCATGCTCGACCCTACTCTCTCCTACAGAGCGCACACTCGCAGTGTTGCAATGCGCACCTCCCAAAGGCTGGGTTTCCTACGAAAGGCAGCACCCATCCTGGACGACCATGGTCGAGTGACGGTCTACAAGCGATTCGTGCGACCCCTACTTGAATATGCCCCACTGGCCTGGTCGAGCGCAGCCGCAACTAACATGGCCCAGCTGGACAAGGTTCAGCAACGTGCCCTGCATTTCCTGGGACCTGGAACCATCCTCCAAAGTCTTCAGCTTCGTCGGATGGTGGCAGCCCTGTCATACTTGTTCAAGCTGTACTACATTCCAGGGCCTCCCCAGGTAAAGGCCATGCTGCCACCAACCAAGCCCCCTGCCGTAGCTAACATGTGCACACGGCAAAAACGTCAGACGCACCATGCCTTCCAGCTGAAGTGGACACCCCCTCGCACAGCCCCTGACTACCTCCTGCGATCCTTCCCATTCTTCGCCATCACACCCTGGAACAACCTGCCTGCGGACCTCCTGCTTCACGAACCTCATTCAAGACGCCTCCAAACCTTCAAGGTCAACGTATGTAAGGATCTAATCCGAGAGAGATGGCTGTGGTCCACAGAGTACCTGTGACTATGATATTGAGACCCATTTAGTATTTACCTTTCTACTAGTACTTGCTTGTTATGATTATTGTTCTCTTTCTTCTTTTTTCCCTTCTGGTTTAGTCATTACACGTATTTATATTATTATGTGCAATACTAGCGCCCCTTTCTCGCACCAAATTATTATTTTTGCTACTTGACCATGCAACCCCCCCTTTTTTTCGATGCCAGGTTGCAACGCTAACGCCGAGACCCCTGGTCGGTCGAGTTGCTCCCTGTACATCGGCACGTCGTCCCTACATCCCCTGTGTCTTGTCTTGTGTTTGTCTCCACATGTCACTTTGTAGGGCTGTGTTTCAAATAAAAAATAAATAAAAAATGCTAAAATCAGGTGTCTGCTAAATTTTTCTTTTACCGTATTTTCTCTAATAAGAGCCCGGGGTTCTTATTTTTTCAGTGACAGCTCTACCCGCGCTACTATTAGAGACCGGGCTATTTTTGGAGACTGGGCTCTTATTTTTCAATTGTCAACTATCAAGCCAACTCCAGTCTATACAGGCAAAAACTGACCATATCAAGACTGATTTTTCAACCCTAAACTCAGGAATATTGTCAAAACAGATGTTTCACGATAGCATTGGCGCCAGGAAGGAAGCAATAGACCGAAAACCTCCTTACAAATATGTTCTTGGTATGTTGTACTGCTGTTTTATATGCAGTCAATATACTTGTTGCATACTCCACGTGATTCCGCCAGACATGTTGTATGCATACTCTATTTTATTTTATACTTTGGAATGAGTTTGGATGAAGTTTTCCATTAGTCCTATTGGTGTTGTTACTAACTGCTTTTGTTGACGTCACTTCTGTCATTTCATTGTATCGTATTACTCTTCAGACATCGGTCCTGAATGGCATAAGCGAAAGTGGCACCTCCGCCACCTACGCGGACATGCTTTTAATAATAATAATGATACTCCAATTGTGACCCGCGCTACTATTAGAGACTGTGCTCTTATTATTTCAAACCAACCTCGCCCCGGGTCCTTATTGGAGACTGGGCTATTATTGGAGACCTGGGCTTTTATTAGAGAAAATACGGTAAGTGTGTTTGACCTCTACCAGGTAGTCGTCAAAGTACTGTGCCATTATTTGACGACTCCCTAATCTCAACAACAAGACTCCCTGGCAACAGCATTGTATTGTGTTGTGTTGTATTGATTTATTTGAATTCGCAGCATGAATCAATGGTTTGCTGGTCTTGACTCCACCATGCATAGTATTCACAATTACAAACAAGTACAAAAGAGCATGCATGTATCAAAACACCACATGCAAAACGGAGAAATTGCAAAATGAACAACCTGCAGTCTTGCACCATCCTGTAGCTAAAGTGAGCATGGATGGTTGAGGCGTAGACCTACTGCCTACGTCGCAGATGCAATGTATTTTTAAACAACATTATGTGATACAAGCAGCAATGGATTAAAATGCAGTGCAACATACACTGGAGAAGAAATCAGGAATTATTCTAATTGCCGAGGTTCTGCTATACGTGAAACGTAGAGAAATCACGTAGAGAGCAGGTGTCTGGGTTAGAGTCTACGGCTTCGCGTGTTTTGGCTCCAGATTTCTACGCGGAGATGGGGTTCTCAACGTAACGTCGTTGTGGCACACGCAGAGAAAATGCGTACGGATTTGCTGGGTATCGATCAACTGCATGCAGAAAACTGCCAAATATGAAAGGGAAAATTCCCAGTACACATTCCACGTGACTTCTCTAGATGAAACGTATAGCAGAACAGCATTTCTTTACGTTACGGGAACGCGAAGAGAGTTCGCGTGATTCTTTGCGTCGCGTTCCCAAAACGTAGAGCAGAACCTCCCTATTATTAAACTCAATCTCGTAGCATGTGCATGCATTGCTAATGTGGGGAGCAACCCCAGAGATGAGAGCGATAACTGGGTATCGATCAACTGCATGCAGAAAACTGCCAAATATGAAAGGGAAAATTCCCAGTACACATTCCACGTGACTTCTCTAGATGAAACGTATAGCAGAACAGCATTTCTTTACGTTACGGGAACGCGAAGAGAGTTCGCGTGATTCTTTGCGTCGCGTTCCCAAAACGTAGAGCAGAACCTCCCTATTATTAAACTCAATCTCGTAGCATGTGCATGCATTGCTAATGTGGGGAGCAACCCCAGAGATGAGAGCGATAACCAGCCATGGTAGGAAAATGCAATGTAAAATAAAGATTTTCAAACCGAAGCCGGAATACACTTTACATCAAAACTTTATAAAATAAAATAAAATTATCCTATGAACGTATCAATGTATCAATAGGCACAATGTTCTGCATATCAATTTGAAGAGACGTGGACTACCATTGATGAAGTACATGCGATATTTTAGCAACTTATCTTATCACTTTATACCATAATATGACAATCGCAATGAGACCAACTGAAACAACAAAAGATTTACGGAGTACTCTTACATTTGTGACTATTATGAAGTACTGTGCAAAAGGGGATATAAAGAAAAAGAGAACAAAAGTGCAGGAATTGCGACAGGAAAAAAGACCTAGCTTCTTGCCTGGTATGTTATGTATATCAGTGTGATGGCTGCAAAGATCTCCGTCATTAACAGTGCTGTTACGAGAGTGGAATAAATGATCGCCTTCTTCACCCGGGATGTAGTTATTGTAGAATCAGTACCATTCTCACAGCGGGCCGATGGCGTAGAGTTGATGGATGTACTTGTGTCTGTGATGCCACTACTACGATCTATGGCAAGATTCAAACAAATTTAAACAACGAGTGTTGTAAAACGGCCATAATTGTTCAAACTGTCACCAAACACATCAGTATCCTATGGCATGCATCAGTTTTATGTAGTAAGCGCTATTGGCACATCCATCGCACAACAACTGAATTCAATATAAAAATCATAAAAGTAAAAATGGCCGATGGCAACTCCTTCATGCAAGAGAGCATTGTTATTTTTCATGATGCATTGTCATTACAGAAGTAGAACAACACCTCCAAATTTCAAGTTGAGTCACCATCAGGTGACCTGCATGATGATTGATTACTGTGAAACTCGGAGTTGGAATAATAATAATATAATAATATTAATTTTGAAGAAGGGCTGAGGCTTCCTGTAGCTTCATCTGTGAAAAGAATTCGGTGGGAATGGGTGTGTCCACCCGAATTCTTTTCACATAATAATATTAATAAAGAGAAATGGAGTGAGAAGAAACAACACCTATGAAAATGATAATCCTAGCACTAAGGTAATAACAGGAAAAACTGCGAAAGCACTTAACGAACTTGTAAAATAAAATAGTGTCCTTTTTTGGTGTGGTAGTAGGTGGAAGCAAATTTTGTTGCTCCGCCAATCGGCTCCTTACTTTTGTTTTGTTTGTCGAGCACTGACCAAGGAAGCACAGCTATGGCGGACTCAACCCTAGACCTAGCCCTGATCGAGTTCAATGTGTTGCAGCAGGTAGCCAAGGACGCCCGAATTCCAGGATGGGACGACCTATCCAGGGCGGACCTCGTGTTCGCTCTCCGTAAGCAGGGCCAGGGAGCCAGCGCACCAGCCAGAGGAGCGCCATCTGAAACCGGTATGGTACCAATTGTATCAGAACTGTTAGACGTAGTCCGAGCACTTTCAAATGAGATTTCGCAACTACGAAATGTGATTGAAACAAGTAAGTCTTCGCAAGAAAACTTCGAAGCCCAATTGTCACGATTGCGGGAAGAGATGGGGAAGCTCAAAAGTCAGCAAGTGCGAGCCCCGGGAGTGCCACTAACCACTCGGTACCAACCGAATACGTACGCTGCCACCCTTTCACGTGCATCTACTACAGAGCCCAATGTACAAGTAGGTCCAAATATGTACACTTCTACCATTCCTGGCGCATCCTCTACAGAGCCCATTGTTCAAGTAGGTTCCCAGTACGCACCTCCCGCACCCAAACATGGCACGCGAATGACCAGCTCTGGCACTCCTGGTGACACTGACCGTAATGGTTGGCAGTATCCTCCACACCGACACATGGCTCGTGCTCCCGCACTGCAGCGTTCTATCACATCACAGTACAAAAAGCCGATGTCCAGTAAGCGAGGCAGCCTCTAGGGGGCAGAAAGGATCAAGCGGAAGTGCTTCTACCTCGGAAATGTCGATCCTGGGTGTGAGGCTGACTCTATCAGGGAGTGGTGAAAAAAGAAAGCAGTTGACATCCTCAGTTGCTCAATTTCGGAGTCCAAGTACTTTGGTACTGCTTATGCTCACCTTGTTGTTCCGGCTGAGCATACTGACCAGGTTCTCGAAGAAGATTTCTGGCCAAGCAAAGTTTCCATCAGGGAATGGAGATTTGCATCTGACAGCACAACCTTGGATCAGTCTGCTAGTAACTAAACCATGCAATTGGACCCACACCCACCTTCCTCACTGAACCCACACGCACACCCATTCTTTCCTACCAGACACTCCCTTCCCACTCACCAGCATTCTACACCACCCCAGCTCACACTCCTAACAACAAACTGTCGTTCTGTAGTAAATAAGTGTACAGAGCTTACTATTGTTGCTGAAGAGTGGCAGCCTGACATAATCTGCCTAACTGAAACCTGGCTCGACCCGAATATTGCACTTAATATTACGCGTTATGACACCTTCCGGAGGGACAGGCCCCCTGCAGAGAATAAGTCCGGGACAAGTGCAAGAGGTTATGGTGGTGTCTCTATCCTTGTTCGACAGAATAAGTTTAAGTCTGTTGCCATGCGTCCCGATCTAGCCCGCGATGGGTGCGAAGCCGTTTGGGTTCAACTCCAGCCGTACCCAGCTGCAGCTGAGCCGATCCTCCTCTGCTGCAGTTATCGTCCACCTTCTGCTAAGCCAACAGATATAGCAAGGTACTGCCAGACTCTCGAAGACGTACTCATTACTCTTCCTCTTTCATCTTCTCACGTTATCTTGACAGGTGATTTTAACAGCAAGCACACGTCATGGTGTTCAACAGATTCCACCAATACTGCCGGTGCTGAATTGTATCGCACGCTCAGTCCATTCGGTCTTCACCAACTCGTCAACACATGTACATACACGTCACCCTCTGGTGTCCAAGCCTGCTTGGATTTGGTATTTAGTAACCGTGCCAATCTCTCGTCTTGCGTCGAAACTGACTGCCCTTTGGGCGCCTCAGACCATGCCATTGTGTACTGCCAGTTCGACATCCCCTGCCTTAGTCTCCCCGCGAAATAACGTCTCAAGCTCAGGAGCCTAACCCTATGTCTTTCGATCTCCGACACGTCACACCTGCTGTGTGGGAGGCGGTCAATGCAGACTTAGACTCAGTACCTTGGAACTCATTAATATCCTCAGACGTGGACAGTGCACTTAGTAACCTGCACAGTGTCCTGCAGACTGTGCTGTCCAAGTATGTTCCCCTTCATAGCTCCCGCAAACCAAATCGAACTCCCTCAACCCCAGGGTGTACACGCAAATATCATCCATGGGTTTCCACTGAACTACGCAAGGCTATCAAGTTGAAGCGTGACCTATTCAGCCTCTCCAAGAAATTCCCTACGGACTACAACCTATCAGCATATAAGGCACAGCGGAACCAGGTGAGACATCTCTCCCGCTGGTGCCACCGCCAGTACATTCGTTCAATCAAAACAACACTTACCTCAGGCAGCACTACGCTTCACCAGTTTGTCCGCAGTCAGCGATCGCACAAAGTAAAACCTGGCATCCCTGACATTGCAAGCCCTGATGGGCTGCTGGTGTCTGACAGCTTCCAAAAAGCAACCATCCTCAACAAGCAGTTTACCTCTGTCGCGGTGCCTGATGACCCACGTTTAGTAATACCCCCTCTCCAATATGGCACTCGTCTTACTCGCCAATTCACCCGCGTTCATATCACTACAGCAGATGTTCGTAAAGCCATCTCAAACCTGAAATCTGGGAAAGCGCCAGGGCTAGACGGTATCACGAACAATATGATAAAGAAGCTAGCTCCTGCGATTTCTTTTCCACTTAGCCGCCTATTTAACCTCTCCTTTACCACAGGCAAGTTCCCTACTGACTGGAAACTGGCTAAAATTGTGCCTATTTACAAGTGCAAAGGCAGCAAATCTCAAGCTAGTAACTATCGCCCAATTTCCCTCCTGTCCTGTATTTCCAAACTTTGCGAACGGCTCTTCTTCAATCAATTGTATAATCATATTTCTCCTGCTCTGGATCCCGCGCAATCTGGGTTTCGTCGTGGTGACTCGACCGCTCTACAGCTCACCAAGCTGATCCAAAACATTGCCGACCATCGTCATATGGGGCGGAAAGTTGCCATGTGCTTTTTCGACCTCGAGAAAGCTTTCGACACCGTGTGGCACCGTGCATTACTTGCTAAACTTTCCAAAGTTTTCGGTGTGTGTGACTCAGCGCTGGAGTGGATTACAGACTACCTATCCGACAGAACGCAAGTTGTCTTTGTAGGTGGAACTCTCTCAGATGCTTCACCTGTTCTGTCCAGAGTGCCCCAGGGATCCATCCTAGGGCCCCTCCTTTTCCTAGTGTATATAAATGATCTTCCCAGTCATGTTGAAGGTGTGTCCTTATTTGCTGACGATACTGCACTGCTCCGGTTCAATGAGTGTCTAGACAGGCTGCGAGACAGTCTCCAGCGCGGTATCAACGAAGTCCATCAGTGGATGACTACCTGGAGACTAAGACCTAATATCGCCAAGACTGAGATATTATTCCTGCCGAACTCAGAGCCAACCAATGCATTCACTCTTCCCGGATCCCTCACAGACCTCACAGTGGTAAAACAACACAAACATCTTGGTTTGGTCATTGACTCAGACTTATCGTTTAGTAGACATGTCGACTATATCTGTAGCAAAGTCAGTAAAGCTGTTGGCTACCTCGTGTCTCACTGCTCCCACCTACCGCTTGAATGCATTCGCCTTTTTTATCATTGCTATATTCTCCCCATTTTTCTCTATTGCTCAACCCCTGGTCATCCCTACTTAGTAAATCGTTAATGAGTACCCTGGAAGTCCACAATAAGAGGATACTCAAAGTCCTTTTCCGCAAACCATCATACTTTCCTTCTGCCGAGCTGTATGATATGTTTAACACCTTCCCTATCTCTAGTCAAGCTGATCGAAAACTGTGTATTGTTGTTCATTCTATTCGTCTTGACAAAGCCCCGCCACACTTGCGTAAATATAACTGGTTTCTTCCCACTCGTCCTACGCGCAATCCCTGCACTTTACCTAAAGGCCGAACCTCAGCTTATACCAGATCTCCGTTTTTTGCTGCCTATTCTCTCTGGCTGGCCCTGCCTCTATCAGTAAAATCGTCTTGTACGCTAAAGGATTACAAGGCCAACATGAAGCTCGTGTTCTAATAACTGCTAGTTCTTCATCCACATTTGTTTCTCTTTGCCTCCAGTAATGTGTAATATTTATTTATTTTTGCTTTGTTTTTGTTTACTGCCATGGCTGGCTACCGCCCCCCTCCCTCCATATTGGCCTATATTCTCTGGCCACGGGAAGGTGAAATAAATAAAAAAAAGAAAAAAAGACATGTATACTGTGACACAAGATATGACACCATGGCCAACCAGGGCCAAACAGACAGAACAAGCTGCTACTAAAACAATTTCAAACGAGCTGTTTGTCAACGTATTCATAAGCCTAATCTGTGTGTCCAGAAGGACAGCATTATTCGTTTGAAATTGTTCTAGTAGCAGCTTGTTCTGTCTGTTTGGCCCTGGTTGGCCATGGTGTCATATCTTGTGTCACAGTATACTAGTAGTCTTTACAAGTTCGTTTTAAAGTGCTTTCGCAGTTTTTCCTGTTATTACCTTAGTGCTAGGATTATCATTTTCATATAATAATATTAATATGGCAATAAGTAGGACGAGCTGAAGTGACATTTGGATTACTTTATTAACAATGTAAGCGATGGAAACGATGCAAAAAACAATGTAAAGGGTAAGGAAGATACATGTATGAAGAAAAAAGCGATGGAAAGAAAGATGATTTGAACAAGTTTTCGTACAACACTCTTCAGGAATCACCGTTGTACTAAAGAACAAAATGAGAACAAAGGAAATAATATAGCAATCAAGGTAGGGTAGCAAAATACAATGACAGCACTGGAATATCGAGGTGTGATTTCTCACAAAAGCGTGCAGAAAACAAGGGTATACAAGTAGGAACTAAGCGTGACAAGTGTGTATCAGCAACAAACAGAACAAAAAGTGAGAACGAATGATAATAATAAAAATATAACAAACAAGAAGGTGACAAACCACATTTAGGCACAAGTGGCAACAACGTTGCCACACTACACAAACGAACATTATTTGAACAATTTTAGGGTAATACCACTTTCTTTCTGGACACACAAATTCGGCTTATGAATGCGCTGACAAACAGCTTCCAAAATTTGTAACTGCAACAGATAACCATGCCGAGCACGGCACAAAACAGAAAAACAGGAATCAGAATAAGTACGGCAACAGTCAGTACTAGAGACCAAATGATTGTATACTGAAGACTTGTTATTACGAGACGCACGCACACAATCTCGACTCACGCGCACAATTTCACACTCACTCTCACCCCCACTCAGCTCACCTTCTCCCTCACTGCTCAAACCAGAACCTGCTCCATCATCCACACTGGTTTGAATCTCCTCCTCACTTGCATCGTCCTGCGTCTCACCTTCACCATTAACGCCAGCCGCAAATGCCGTTGCCTTCATGTTAGTCGTCGTCCTCTCCGATTGTTTCCTTTGTACGTTTACCGTGAATTCATAGGTCCGGTGGTAATCTGCTGTAGATCTGCGTGGTCTGTCATTTGCTGCTTTGTTTTGTGGATCAGTTGCTGTTGTTGTTAGATGTGAAGCTGGTGTTGTTGTTGGATGTGAAGCTGGTGTTGTTGTTGCAGCCATGGTTGTTGATCTTTCTGTTGAATCCAGCTCTGGTTCCAGTGGGACAAATCGACCGCCACGAGTGCTCCCCACCACCACAGACCTCGAAGGAGGAGGGTCAGGGGGAGGCAGAGGTGCTGTCACCACTCGAGGCACAGCTCCAGGCACAGCACCCAGCGGCACAGACTTAGGCACACCTGAGGGCTGCACCAATGGCGGTTCCGCATGCACCTCTAAAGAGCTGCCAAGCTCAAGCCCGTCCAACACCGATGTCAGAGGCGGAACGGCAGAACGGCCTAAGTCTGTGCCGCTGGGTACTGTGCCTGGGGCTGTGCTTCGAGTGGTGACAGCACCTCTGCCTCCCCCTGACCCTCCTCCTTCGAGGTCTGTGGTGGTGGGGAGCACTCCTGGTGGTCGATTTGTCCCACTGGAACCAGAGCTGGATTCAACAGAAAGATCAACAACCATGGCTGCAACAACAACACCAGCTTCACATCCAACAACAACACCAGCTTCACATCTAACAACAACAGCAACTGATCCACAAAACAAAGCAGCAAATGACAGACCACGCAGATCTACAGCAGATTACAACCGGACCTATGAATTCACGGTAAACGTACAAAGGAAACAATCGGAGAGGACGACGACTAACATGAAGGCAACGGCATTTGCGGCTGGCGTTAATGGTGAAGGTGAGACGCAGGACGATGCAAGTGAGGAGGAGATTCAAACCGGTGTGGATGATGGAGCAGGTTCTGGTTTGAGCAGTGAGGGAGAAGGTGAGCTGAGTGGGGGTGAGAGTGAGTGTGAAATTGTGCGCGTGAGTCGAGATTGTGTGCGTGCGTCTCGTAATAACAAGTCTTCAGTATACAATCATTTGGTCTCTAGTACTGACTGTTGCCGTACTTATTCTGATTCCTGTTTTGTGCCGTGCTCGGCATGGTTATCTGTTGCAGTTACAAATTTTGGAAGCTGTTTGTCAGCGCATTCATAAGCCGAATTTGTGTGTCCAGAAAGAAAGTGGTATTACCCTAAAATTGTTCAAATAATGTTCGTTTGTGTAGTGTGGCAACGTTGTTGCCACTTGTGCCTAAATGTGGTTTGTCACCTTCTTGTTTGTTATATTTTTATTATTATCATTCATTCTCACTTTTTGTTCTGTTTGTTGCTGATACACACTTGTCACGCTTAGTTCCTACTTGTATACCCTTGTTTTCTGCACGCTTTTGTGAGAAATCACACCTCGATATTCCAGTGCTGTCATTGTATCTTGCTACCCTACCTTGATTGCTATATTATTTCCTTTGTTCTCATTTTGTTCTTTAGTACAACGGTGATTCCTGAAGAGTGTTGTACGAAAACTTGTTCAAATCATCTTTCTTTCCATCGCTTTTTTCTTCATACATGTATCTTCCTTACCCTTTACATTGTTTTTTGCATCGTTTCCATCGCTTACATTGTTAATAAAGTAATCCAAATGTCACTTCAGCTCGTCCTACTTATTGCCATATTAAAATTATTGTCTCCTCGTCGAATATTTAAATATAATAATAGTTACAGTTCGCATGTCACTCATGGAAGGATCCATGGGCTTAACGCATCTGTCAACGAAATCCAGGCAGAAGAGCCGAAAAAAGGCATCTCATTATTGTTAGAACTTATCGCAGTAAGAACAACTACGCATCCGCAGCACATTTTTCCACACGCATCAACCATTTTTTTCTTGTCTAGAGCCAGTTCAAAACAGTCAGAAATATCAATATTGGCGTGCTTTAGATCATTTTTAATATTGTCAATCCACTTGAGATGGGGTCGGCCACGCGGGCGCTTGATGTCCCGGTTATTAATTGCCATCTCCGGTGCTTGGTAGGACGTCGGAATGGATGACTTCAACTTCTGTGCTGGAGAAGTCTGCTTCTGTGAACTATTATTATTCACTATTATTCCCGTAGCTATGCAGAAGACGTTACTTTAGTAACGTCTGGCGCTAGCCAGGGTCCACACAACTTTAATTTGCTAATTAGAATAAGTTCTATCTCTCACGCTATGGCACTGGTGTAACTTTGTCACCTGCCGGCCACCACCAGGTACAGGGCTTGCCTGCCGTCACTGTAACTTGACTGTCAACTCTCCTTCTTTCCCTAATTCTCACCTCCTTGTAAAACTGACACCATCTGCACCATGTCTCACTAACTTCAAATGTCACACTAATATCGCGCTTTTCTACCTTCGCGCTTTGCTTTGCTACCTGCCTGCGTATGAAATTGGACCCAGATGATGTGCAGGTTATCATTTGTGTCTATTTCAAAAAGGACGATTACTCTCAAAGACATTATGGAAAACGGGAACTGGTAGATGGGACGACATTTCTTAGAGACAGAGACCAAGACGAACGAAACGACTACATTAGGGAAGAGAGAGAGAAGTGAGGGCGGCAAGATAAAGGGCCTGGGTAGCTATGGCAAATATGGGCGCGCAAGTAGCTACCCAGGCCAACGGAACAAAAGGTGACAAAAGGAGACAAAAGGTGAGTACGAGGGCGCATGCAGGCCAGCTTTGAAAAGGTTGTACAACGTACGGGAGGAGGTACCTAACAGTTGTCTGAGGATTGCCTTAGCTTTGCTATATGCAGGATGAACCCAGCGTTACAGCAATCAACTAGCCAGTTGTCTCTGTTTTCTTCTGCATTTGTGATAATGCTCCATCTTTGTGGTGTTGAGCACTCAAGGTAATCTGGGAACTCTCGCTACTTTGTACTCCATGTGTCATATATGTACTCTGTGCGTTGTATCTGTACTCCGAGGAGCATGTCCCTGTTATAGTAATATTTTTATTTTACCTCGCGTCCTCCGCCAATACTATGTTTGTTGTGTGCATATTGCATCCTCTCTGTTTTTATTCACGTCTATGGTCGGCATGTAGACCTCTCTCACATCCACTGGTAATGGCATGTGTGGAGATTCAGACAGAAAGACATGTTCGCTACACTTGAACACACAGATAACTTACCACTGTTACCTGGCATGCTGGGCATCAGAGTTACAATGGTAGTCTGTCTTGGGTGAACTCTGTATAGAACAGGTACTGTAGAGTTGTGTGGAGACAGGGCAAACTCGTATAGGCCATCCTTGAACAGGAGTGTCTCCACAAACAAACTGTAACTACAGGTGTCTGACTGGCTTGTACCAGGAATGTCAACGCATTCGACTTTGTACGGCCGAAACCAAACTCTTAAGTTGACCAGGTAGCTGCGCAGATGGGCTGTGGGCACCAGGATAACGTTATTATTCGAGCTGGCATTCACGGTGAGGAATTGGGAGGGATTCTTGGCCAGCTCTGCTGCAACAGTGTCAGCTATAGTACGAGAGAAAGAAGAGAGAGAGAGATACAGAGACAAAGAGAGAGAGAGAGAGACAGAGAGACAGAGAGAGACAGAGAGAGAGAGAGAGAGAGAGAGAGAGAGAGGCGAAGAGATAGACAGAGAGAGAGGCTGCTTTCATGAGGGGTTAGTTATTTAACATGGCTGGAGAGAAACCTTTAGCTCTCTGAATTGATTATTGGTTGCATCGAGAATCTTTGGGAATCGCACACACGCGTCAACATGAAGAAATACACACGCGCGTTATCTCACCTTCCTGAATAGATTCGGAAAACGTGTAGATGATCCGCTCAGCAGATCTGATAGCAAATCTCCCTTCAGGTAAGGAGAGATTAGCCAGCAGGTAAAGTGTATTCTGTGCGTACACACTGTGCACCCTCCACTCTGAATCAATCAAGCTGAAAACAGTGACGTTTGAACTCCCAAGCCCTTCGCCAGTAACGTTTATATTTAGTTTGTCGACAATGGATTCACCTGTACAAAGGGCAGTCCAGCACATTACAATCCGTCATGTGATTAGGTAGGTATTACCTGTACACAGTTGTGGTATTGAAAAGAATGATCAAATAATTTGATGGATTTGATTATTCGTGGAGTGAACGGATATTCGATTAATGGCAGGAACTGGCAGAAATCGAGAAATGATCACGGGGTATACATTTGCAGATTGTGCACTCAAAGTGCAGGCATGCTCCACATGCATATTCGCATGCAAACAGTTGCAGGGGGCATGGAATGAACAGCTACTGTCTGTACAAGATCTCCTTAGCATCTGATGAGTCTCTGCAGCATAGCGTAGTGCTGTTGATGCACTGCGCTATGCATATAGCAGTACTACACTCTTGACTCCCCCTCCCCCTGTCGCAAACGCGATCATACTTTCCGTTATTATCACTTAGACATAAATTTGTGGTGCTAGAGCCTACTTTTTCTGACCTTATTTATTTATTTTATTTATTTCACCTTCCCGTGGCCAGGGAATATAGGCCAATATGGAGGGAGGGGGGGGGGCGATAGCCAGCCATGGCAGTAAGCAAAACAATGCAAACAAATTACAAACTGCAGGAGGCAATAACCTACATGGGGCGAGGCAAAGATAAACAAATCTGAATGAAGAATTAGCAGTACGAAGTAAGAATTAGCAGTTATAAGAATTCAAGCTTCATGTTGACCTTGAAATCATTTAGCGTACAAGACGATTTTGCTGATAGAGGCAGGGACAGCCAGAGAGAATAGGCAGTGAAAAATTGAGATCTGGTATGAGCTGATGTTCGGGCTTTAGGCAAAGTGCAGGAAGTGCGTGTAGGATGAGTGGGAGTGTTAATTTGCCCGTAAAAGAGGCTTGAAAATGAGAAAAACATAAATAAATAAATGAGTGGGAAGAAACCAGTTATATTTACGCAAGTGTGGCGGGGCTTTGTCAAGACGAATAGAATGAACAACAATGCACAGTTTTCGATCCGCTTGACTAGAGATGGGGAAGGTGTTAACATATCATACAGCTCGACAGAAGGAAAGTATGATGGTTTGCGGAAAAGGACTTTCAGCATCCTCTTACTGCGGACTTCCAGGGTACTCATTAGCGATTTACTTAGTAGGGATGACCAGGCGGTTGAGCAATAGAGAAAAATGGGGGAGAATATAGCAATGATAAAAAGGCGAATTCAAGCGGTAGGTGGGAGCAGTGCGACATGAGGTAGCCAACAGCTTTACTGACTTTGTTACAGATATAGTCGACATGTCTACTAAACGATAAGTCTGAGTCAATGACCAAACCAAGATGCTTGTGTTGCTTTACCACTGGGAGGTCTGTGATGGATCCGGGAAGAGTGAATGCAGGGGTTGGCTCTGGTACGTGTTTTTGGCAGTGATGCCAAGACCTCAGGTCAGCAGAGCCATCAATGCCCCAGCATCACTGCTGCGTCTTGGTGCAGCCCCTACACCGTTGTTGTCACGTTTGTCATAGTACTATAGTCTCAGTTTTATGAAGAATTTGGTAGCTATCATATTGGAGAAGAATCATGATTTGCAGTATTCAGTAGTCATGGGCCAGTTAAGGTAGCAACCTGGTCGTAAATTTCATAATTATGGCATTCAATTGACCGTAACTTTGGTGTTTCTCAATGGATTTGAGTGAATTTTTCACCACACACTCCTGCCACTATGCTGGCCCTCTGGACATGATTTAAAAATTCTTGCGCCTCACTGACAGGCTTTCCAGGCCGGAAAAACTCAAAATTGCGGCATAGTGCCACGGTGTGCGAGCCACCTAGGAGCCAAAAAAAGCATTTACATTTTTTTCACATGCTCTTGCCCATTCTGTCCGTACGCGGGATCCCAACCTAACAAAAGTCCAGAAGCAGCCATGGGTGGTGGGATAGGGCCCCTCAACTTGGCCCTGGAGTGTAAAGTAACGATTTTCATCAGTACTTTCGTATCTCATAACTAACTAACATAACTTGCATCGTCCAAGTCATGAAATACTGACTCAAAGGCATGCATTACGCATGCATACCAGTGAACTAGCGGTACAACAAAAGATTTTTGAAAAATAGAATGCCAATACTAAAAAAACCCGATAAAGTACAAAATTTCGAATATACTCAATATATGTATTTTTTTATTTACTTAGTAAGACTATGCCTGTAGCTGCAGAAAAAGTGCTCAACATCCAATTTCTTGGGGGGAGCAATGACACATGTCAACAAACAATGGATCACTCGTAAAATTTCGCTACTCCGAGTTTCATGCACTGTGTGCAATCATCAGGCGAACAATATTCAACCGAATATTGTTCGCCTGATGATTGCACACAGTGCATGAAACTCGGAGTAGCGAAATATTACGAGTGATCCATTGTTTGTTGACATGTATTTTTTTTATTTATATCATTATCTCATGGCACATCATGATGACAGCCAGTAAAACTGAGACAAGGGTGAAAGCCAACCACAGCAGTAAAACAGATAAAATAATACAAATAAGAGGCAAAGAAGGCAAAGGAGGAGACAAACCAGCAGGATATACATGAAACCTATAATTGAGCAGAGATTTTAGCAACAAAATTATCCATCGACGTGCTGGTCTTGGCCTGCGTTGGCAATGTTGCCCAAAACACATAGCCAGCAAAGATCGGGGATCTAGTGAATAGGGTGGAGGCAGCGCGTGGCAGACTGAATGGGTTCCGGGTATTCCGTGTTTCGGAGAACCAATTATAAGCCTGCATATGCAAGGGTATTTTATTTTGTAATATGTTATGCATGAGAACACAGAGGTGGTACTTATGTCGAGTGGAAAGGGGACTGATCTTGGCAATTTCGTAAAGACTAGCGGAGGGAAAGCGACGATCTTTGCTAAATAAGATTTTAAGGAGCATGCGGTTATGGGTTTCTAGCTTGTTCAATACAGTAGTAGTTATGCCAGACCAAGCAGTATCACAGTAGTCAAGTAAGGGCAATATGTAGCAACGATAAAACAAGCGTTTGCAAGAAAGAGGAAGATGTCTACAGTGGGCTTGAAGAGCCCAAAGAATGGAGCTTGTGCGCTTGCAGACATACTGCACATGGGATGACCACGGCAATTTAGAGTCAATAATAACGCCAAGATGCTTATGCTCTTCAACAATACGAATAGCAACACTTGAAGAAGGAAAACAAAGTGGCAGGGAAGGGGGAGAAGGGGAAATATACATAGCTGCCGTTTTATCAACGTTTGGCTGCAACTTCCAATCATGCATCCAGGTTATAACCTTGCCAATGCTATCTTGCATGGCTTCGTGCAGTCGTATAGGGCAAGCATTGGAGCAAAGCAGAGCTGTGTCGTCAGCGAAAAGGCTGACACCAGGGGCAATATCGGGGAGGTCATTAATATACAGGAGAAATAGCGGTGGCCCGAGGATTGAACCCTGGGGGACTCCAGAAGTAACGGGTAAAGGCTCCGATAACACAGTTGAGAGGCGTACAAGCTGATGTCGGTTAGAGAGATACGATGAGACCCAGCCGATAGCCTTGCCATCAATGCAATATACTGTTCGCAGCTTAGCTAAGAGACCCCTGTGCCAAACAGTGTCGAAGGCCTTTGCGAGATCGAAGAAAACTAAACCAACATGGTTATGGGCGTTCCGGGTGGTGTGGATGTCTTGCACGAGGCGGGTAACCTGGTACCTGGTGGAGTCACCCCGACAAAAGCCCGACTGTGCTGGCGAAAGTGAAATGCGAACATGATCATAAATGATGTCATATACAACACGTCCGCACACTTTTGATAAAGTAGAGAGCAATGAGATAGGGCGATAGTTGCTGGGGGTGGTGCGTGGTCCTCTATTTTTGTAGGTGGCCACGACTACCGCAGTTTTCCACATGGCTGGGAATTTCCCTTCGCGAAATGACAGATTCAAGATAATTGACACAGGATAGGCAACAGACGGAGCAAGAGCTCTCCAAACTTCGTTGGTAATTCCGTCTTGACCAGGGGACTTGCCAGTTTTCAGATTACGGAGATATTTCCTCACTTGGGCTGTACCAGTCGACAATGATAGGAGGGACGCAGGTATTGAGGGTGAAGGGGTGAGTGGTGGTATAGGCCACGTAGGGTCGTCAGGAAGTCCAAACGACGTAAACTGCGTGTTCAATATGTCTGCTATGTCTGCGGGATCTGTTGCTACCGGGCCGTCTGAAGCTGTCATTGATCGGATCGGCTCCCGACCACAGTTCTTACGGAGATGGCGGAGAAATTGATGGAGACTAGGGCGATCATGGGAAGACAGGGTGGCATGAACCGACTGTACATCCTGACGATGGAGGGTACGTGACAAACAGTTCACTTTGTTTCGCTTGCGCTTAAAGGCAATGAAGTTTTCACTGGTTGGATACTTCCTATAAATGCTATACAAATCTCGCTTCAGTTTCACAGCCCACTTGAGGTCCGGAGTGATCCAGGGTCGGGATGCATCCCGCATAGTAGGACGAGGCCTAATGTAGTCTCCTGTCCGCGAAATAACTTTGTAAGGCAACAGATGACGATGGAATGCTGACTGTAGTAAAGCATCAAACAGGACAATGGCATCATCAACATCAGAATGCCGATGAAGTAATGACCAGTCCAACCTGGATAAGTCTTCATTCACAACCTGCCAGACACGGGTAGGCACTTGTTTATACCTGTACTGAGCCTGGGGATGGAGGGACGATTTAGCAGTCGCTTGTGGTGTCGAGCACGATGCATAGTTGAGCGTACAAACAACCTGCAGATGATCAGATGTGCCAAGAGGAGCTGCGTGGTCGACTGAGAGGACATGTCGGGGTTTGTTGGTTACCAACAAGTCAAGACACGAGTTGGCACCTGCTGATGAAGTGTATGTTGGGAAACTCACTAGTTGTTGGAGCCCAAGCATTGAAAAAACTGTCTGTAGGTTGGTACCGGCTGTAGAGGTGGAGTCAGAAGAGCACCAATCATTATATTTGGCATTAAAATCC